ATGTTAAGAAAAATTTCGGGGATAAAAAACGTAAAATTAAAAAAGTTGGTATTTAAATCGCTTGGTTGCCTCGACTCACGTTGCATCCTTATCTTTTATTCGCTGTCCTTGTCTACGTTCGGCAAACTACAAAGGCGGGCGCGAGGCTCGAAAACGTAGTCCCTGACTCTACAAGTGTCAGGTTTAGCTACCTTGTGGACTGACACTTGTGGAGAATTTACTGTATAGGGAAAATTTGTTCAGAATGATAACCTTGATAACATGTTTCACGGTCATGAAAATGGTGAAGAATACCTAAAATAAATAATTACCGGGATTGCTTATTTCATGCCATTTCAATAATGGAATAATGGACCAAACAGCATCGTGTATTCGTAATAGAAACGATTTAAAAAAATAGTGAATTAGTTGTTAAAACGCAGCGATTGCTTCAAGCAAAGTGAATAGGGACATTGCAGCGATTCTTAACGAAATGATCGAGAGGACAATAGGAGAAATAGACTGAAACAGTGACCGAGAAATGGCGGGATATATCTCACTGGAGTACTTTTTAAAAAATAAAACGGCAGGATAGCATCTTTCTATTGACATAAAGAACTTAATAAAAAATTAAAAACTCAAAACCCTATTTCATTTGAAAACTCGGGGGGTTCCTGTGGCCCCACCCGGTATATCTTAGTAAGTTGACATTGGTAAAATATATTTCCACGTTTTGAGGTAGGTGTGTAAATTGCAATAGGTGTTAAAATAATTGCAATTTTACAAATTGTTTAACATAGAATCTTCTCTTTTGTATCAAATACTTTATGGGATTAACTGAAAATTTTCTGACGACGTACAACTTTACGCAGATCCATTAAAGAAACAACATTGTTTCACTACTAAGTATATAAGAAGATAATCGAAACAGAAATTATTCTTGACGTACATAACGTCGTAAATGCTCATTTTAAATAATCGCAATTTATTTTTAATCATCTTGATAATATACACTATCGATCAAAAGAATTCGACTACACACCAATTTACACAAATATCAAAACTGCTATCAACTTTTCATGAAATTGAAATTAATGGTACAGGGACCAAAAACAATTTGCTCTACTTCGGTAGATTTGAGTCATAAAAGATCTATCAAATCGTTTAAAAAGTTCTCGACTTTTTTCCACAAATTTTCTTGTAACCGGTGTGAGGGTACAAGAGGAACGGCGCACTTCTGTCTTCGATGGAAACGCCCAAAACGGGAAGCAGCGCTGGATGACTTAACCCGTACAACGCTAAACCCTCTCGTAGGAGAAGAGCGACCTTCGAAAGTAAGAATGAAGAATACGATCAAACACGGAATTTTATTGTTAAGTGGTAACAGGGTGAGGCATAGGAATCTGACGATCTTTTACTGTCGAATACCGTCAATTGGTTCAACTGACGCTATGGAGTTTAAAAGAGGGGACAGCGGTAATTATTTCCTTCAGGTATTCCTCGGCGATTTTAATGGCCTTGAAATATAATGTCAAGATCATCATTCTGAACAAATTTTCTCTACGTACGTATGTTGCAGCCGCTCGGCCATATGTAGTTTCCGAGCTAGTTTTGGTATTAAACATTATTCTCAATCATTACTAACAGAAATTGGATAAATTTCAGCCATTGTGCCAAAAAATGCAACTCTTCTTGTACTGAAGCAAAAATGCAGCTATGTAACCAACATAATATTCTTTTCAGATTCTACATTTAAGAACCTAAGCCAAACCTAATCCAAGTTACTATAAACATATCCCAAACATTAAAAATATGATATAGAGTGACAAAAATATTTTTGCGAATATCTCAGAAACTAACGCCAAACTGCAGTACCATTGTACAGTAAATTCTCCACAAGTGTCAGTCAGTTTGGATTCTACAAGTGTCAGTATAGATGGTCCTACGCCTAGGTCTGCGTCATTGCTGCACCTATGTTATCTCGCTCGCTGTCACTCAAGCGTGTAACGCTACACCACTCGGTTTCTTTTACGAGATTTCACGGCTCGACAATTCATGGTAGAAAAATATAATTTCTTTAATTTTACTTTCTTTCATCTGAAATGTTTTTTAACATGTTGGTGAGATTTTTCTGATGAAAATGAAAATTAAAAAAATTGGTATTTAAATCGCTTGGTTGCCTCGACTCACGTTTCATCCTTATCTTTTATTCGCTGTCCTTGTCTACGTTCGGCAAACTACAAAGGCGGGCGCGAGGCTCGAAAACGTAGTCCCTGACTCTACAAGTGTCAGGTTTAGCTACCTTGTGGACTGACACTTGTGGAGAATTTACTGTATAGGGAAAATTTGTTCAGAATGATAACCTTGATAACATGTTTCACGGTCATGAAAATGGTGAAGAATACCTAAAATAAATAATTACCGGGATTGTTTATTTCATGCCATTTCAATAATGGAATAATGGACCAAACAGCATCGTGTATTCGTAATAGAAACGATTTAAAAAAATAGTGAATTAGTTGTTAAAACGCAGCGATTGCTTCAAGCAAAGTGAATAGGGACATTGCAGCGATTCTTAACGAAATGATCGAGAGGACAATAGGAGAAATAGACTGAAACAGTGACCGAGAAATGGCGGGATATATCTCACTGGAGTACTTTTTAAAAAATAAAACGGCAGGATAGCATCTTTCTATTGACATAAAGAACTTAATAAAAAATTAAAAACTCAAAACCCTATTTCATTTGAAAACTCGGGGGGTTCCTGTGGCCCCACCCGGTATATCTTAGTAAGTTGACATTGGTAAAATATATTTCCACGTTTTGAGGTAGGTGTGTAAATTGCAATAGGTGTTAAAATAATTGCAATTTTACAAATTGTTTAACATAGAATCTTCTCTTTTGTATCAAATACTTTATGGGATTAACTGAAAATTTTCTGACGACGTACAACTTTACGCAGATCCATTAAAGAAACAACATTGTTTCACTACTAAGTATATAAGAAGATAATCGAAACAGAAATTATTCTTGACGTACATAACGTCGTAAATGCTCATTTTAAATAATCGCAATTTATTTTTAATCATCTTGATAATATACACTATCGATCAAAAGAATTCGACTACACACCAATTTACACAAATATCAAAACTGCTATCAACTTTTCATGAAATTGAAATTAATGGTACAGGGACCAAAAACAATTTGCTCTACTTCGGTAGATTTGAGTCATAAAAGATCTATCAAATCGTTTAAAAAGTTCTCGACTTTTTTCCACAAATTTCTACGTAACCCGCAGTGCATAGTGATCTCGAGCATATGTTGCTCTAAGATTAATCACGCATGAATTACTTAAATTAGATAAAGTATTTAAATGGACTGTAACATTATCGAGCAATTATTGATAAGCTATCGTTGAATAAAGTAATCTTTAACCTTGATAAAAAAAGAAGTGTCTAAGGCTCGTTATCTACACTCTTAAAATTAGTAGTTGATTAAATACTCCATTTCTGTTCTGCTATTTATAAAACATTCTTTCGGACAAGTTAAACAATATTTCCCATAATACACGTGACTACATTATATAGTTCGTGTTATTTCCACGGAACGAACGACAAGTAGATGCGCAATTGCGCAGTGATATTACTCGACCCCAATTACAAGGAAGTTGAGAGGAAACTTGAAATAATAATTGAATTAATAACGGTTGAAAGTGCAAGAATTAATTGGCGAGCGAAGGAACAATTACTCACTTGCGATTGCGATGCATGTTCAGCGGCAGTTTTCACTAGGACATCCCTTGAGGAAGACGCACCCTCCTCGTGATAACTGCCTCTATACACGCGACCGAATGTGCCTTCCATTTCGATGCTGAGAAGGCGTACCCTGCATCTGTAACAAGTGCGAAACAAGATTACTCGGAGATTGGTGACTGCAGCTTCGACGAAACGGATAATTATGCTGTAAAAGCTTTGGGATTCTTCCTCGCAAAATTATTGGGAAGCTGAATTGGTTAGGCGGCTGTCGAAACGGAAGCGGACTTGGTAAATCGAAACGAGTTAACGTACTTCAATTTTTTTTCCCATGCTCGCATCGCGTGTTTGATCTTTCGACGTGTATGGAGAAAGCGATAGACCTGTTTTACGGTATTTTATACCCCCGAACGATATTTCAATTGTGTGGAATTAATGAAAGTACGAACGATATTTAGCTTTCGTTGAAAGATACGTTTCATTGTAAGAAAATAAATTTATAGTTCCATTTGGTCGGTGTTTTTTTTAAATTAATGGTAAGTGTTTTTTGAAATACGTAAAAATTAATATTTTGCTCAGTATAAATAATTAATTTTGTTGTGATAATTAAAAACATTTGTTTTTGGTTAATAAAATTTAAATTTTTGGATAGGTTAGGATATTTTATTATACCATCTACAGTAAATTCTCCACAAGTGTCAGTCAGTTTGGATTCTACAAGTGTCAGTATAGATGGTCCTACGCCTATGTTATCCTCGCTCGCTGTCAGTCAAGCGTGTAACGCTACACCACTCGGTTTCTTTTACGAGATTTCACGGCTCGACAATTCATAATAGAAAAATATAATTTCTTTAATTCGACTCTATGTAATCTAATAGAGGGCGTCTGTTTTATCTCAATACAGTGAAATATCTGGCGTGACAGTGAACGTGTTAATAAGTAAATGTTGTTCAAATTATGTCGTGTTTGATGTCATTTTCATCAGAAAAATCTCATCAATATGTTAACAAAAATTTCGGGATAAAAAAATGTAAAATTAAAAAAGTTGGTATTTAAATCGCTTAGTTGCCTTCGGCAAACTTCGGGCGCGAGGCTCGAAAACGTAGTCCCTGACTCTACAAGTGTCAGGTTTAGCTTCCTTGCGGACTGACACTTGTGGAGAATTTACTGTATTTAAAATACTGACAAATTTTTATGTTTACTAATATTTTAACGAGAATACTGACAGCTTTTGTATTATTCGATGTACTACTGACCACTTATATTACGTGCTGACGTTTTATTTTAAATACTGATAAAAATTTTTTAAAATAAAGAAATAGCAGCCATAAATTTAGTGTAAAACGTTATCACCTCTGTAGTCGGTTAATTTAATTAATAAAATCGCCTCGAAAAATGAATACGATCGTTTGATAATTTTTTGGTCCATTACATCATTGCAAGTTCCTCCAACTCCATCGGTGCACTTCACTCGCACACTATTGGGATTTTTTATTCTATTTCTAGAGGCAGTCTGCTTAACTTGATAACATGAGTTAAATAGACCTTCTTCAAAGCTTACCGAAGCTTCACAAGAAGCAAATTCCGCTTAATTATTTCCAAACCAATTAGTCGTATCATAAACTAATACTTTTTCAAAATTTTTATTTTCAATTAATTTCTTAAATGTTATTTTTACTTTCAATTAGTTTTATCATTTTTATGTTTATTTTCAATTAATCGTGTTATAAGCAATAATACTTTATTCTATTTCTCCCGTTTCTCGGGCTTCGTGTAACTTACATTGCCTACAAATGTTACAAATACAAAGTTACTAACACAAAGGTTAACTGTCTGATTGTTAAAAATACTTTAGCCTTTCTTCTGATTTAGTGAAATGTTGTAACAGAATGTTAAGTACCTCTGGACCGTGATTTCTTGAATTCGTTCGTGCAACTCTCGACTAGGTCGGTCATCTAATCTCCTGTAAGTAGAACTGGATGTTGCAGAGGCTGGTGGAGGTGTATCAGGTGATAAAAAAGTTTGCGCAGGTCCGACTCCTGTACCTCTTTCCACGCTACACGCGGAACTGAGGCCTCTCGATTCTCTTTAAAATTGAAAGTAAAATCATATTATATGAAATTAAAATGACATTAATGAAGGTACGGTGCGTTGTGTAAAAGTTAAAACTGAATTTAATTAATTGTTAACCCACGTGAGTAGCGACGTAATACTGAGTTGCTGCTGACATAACCATGCTCACGACAGATTAAAAGTTATGCAACGATACGTTGATTTTAAGCTTATCAAAATAAATTCAGGAGTAACGATCACAAATGTGAGCGCTACAAAAATTTGCTACGTATTTCGAAGGAATTAAAAGTTCAAAGAAACAAAAGACATTCTCGAAAAGAAAAGTGCTAAGTATTGGTAAAATTAATAGAAAAGATGTCACTTCGTATTTTATCTGCAAATCTTATCGAATCTTTTGCGTAAAGGCAACTGCTTTTACGACTGTCATACTGAACGAAACTATCTTTACATCAAAATTCCAATTTTCCTGAAAAGACCCTTGTAACAAGTTTGACAAATTTGTTATATATTAGTGTTTTTCATATTTATAAATTCAGCATTTTCATCGTTCAGATATGTGACGCGTAAATTACAGGAGAAATATTTTAACGTAAATTATATAATTGTGATCCTTCTTTTAATAACAAAACCGTCATTACTGAGAAAATGTTGAGAAAATGTATCACAAGTTTTTATCTCGAACGTTTTGCTACCTCTAACCTGAAAGTCTGTTAAAATCTTAATAACAAATTTTATCGAGTCGGTAATTAACCCTCCAGTCGCGGGCGATTTTCACATTTTTCTGCACAAAATCGCTTTAACATCTTCCACAGGTTCATCGCAAAGAGACTTTCAATGCGATACAAAAAAATACGCATTCCTCAGAAGCGTAGTTGGTGAAACGACGTCTTCCTATATTCAAATACATAATAAAACTATTAACAGAATAAGTGGAACACGATTTCTGCGTCGCCCGCGGCTGAGGGGTTAAAAAAAAATGGGGGAAAGAATTCTTACTGAAGAGGATCGCGATGTCTCCTGGCTTTCTTATCGCGAACATAGTAAGCAACAACGAGGACGAAAATGGCAGCGATGAAGGCACACGCGCAGCCAATGGCGGCATAAAACATTTGCCCACCAGAAGAAGATCCGGAAGCCGCAACGAGAACTTCTTCCCCTCCTGTGTTACTCTTGTCCTTCAAACAGATTTTCTTACGTCTGAAGTCCAGACTAGTCGTGTTTCGTCTCGACAGAGAGACGTTTATCCGAAGACTCAGGTCGACTTCAGCGTCGTAAGGGCCGCAATGCAACGCCAAGGCCCAAGTTTGAAGTTCACCAACAGGAATTTCACCGGCTTGTGATATGTTTAGGGAACTGCTCAAGGCGGATGGATTGCTGATGTCCACCGACATTGTGTACGGTAACTGAAAATGTGAAAATTTCTCTACATGTTTTGCAATCTCTCTTAATTTGAATATCTGCTATGTAAGAAAATAGAGGACGCTGGAGTGATAGATAAAGGTGGTGATCGATTGATCAAACAAATAATCGTGCGCGGTTATGAGAACTGTATTTAGACTCAACTTCGACAAAATTCCTCGCCAAGAGGACACCCTTGGCAATATGGCCTTCCTTGGCCTTCCCTCGAGGCAGAGCTCTCCTTAAGAGAGGGAAGCACGGCAAAAGAAGGCACATGGCCCACTCGAGCGTTCGTTCATTTAGACTCTTCTAACAGCTAGTGAACGTTTAGGAAATTCATAAATAAATACACTTCTGTCTATAAGTCACCGGCCACCACCATACCGTTTTACAATAAATCATGTTTAGATGAAAGATTTAGTGACGCGCCATTCCCCTGTCAATAAAAATAAAAATCACTGTAGCTACCTCAGTTGCAAGCTAGTCGCAGCCAATTTCTTTTTTATGTTAAAGGGAAGGCTTTGCCCTTTTCAATGATACAGGAAAGAACACTGAATCCTACTAAATACGTATTTAAAATTAAGAATGAAAATGGAAAATATTAAATAACGCATAATTTCAAAATGAAATTTGGTACAATTCAGGTACAATTCCACTACGAATTACTTAAATTCAGAAAACAACAAACTGGTAAATAATAATTCTATATTTCAATCATTTTGAGGTTAACTTCTTTAAAGCAGTGTAGCTCCGTTACTAATTAAGAAAAATGAAGAAAAGTTATACCACATTATAGCCCAAATGTTCAATTAACTATCTGTGTAGATTTTTTTTCAGTTTGACGATACTTATGAAGGACTTTTTACCGCGTTTAGAAGGCAAATACCTCACTCTGCACCGGTGGGTCACATCGTCCTGAACGTGTTAAGTTTTTCTGCCAATTCTCGAAGTGTTTGCCGTGGATTTGTAGCAATAATTTCTTTGAAGATTGCTAGACCGAGGTTCACCTTGCAACTCTGAATTTCTATCACGAAATTTGGTAAACCATCGTTGACACATACGTTCATTCACTAAATTTCTACCAAAAAGACGTCGCGAACAGTTTTGGCACAAGTACAGTAAATTCTCTACAAGTGTCAATCAGTTTGGATTCTACAAGTGTCAGTATAAATGGTCCTACGCCTAGGTCTGCGTCATTGCTGCACCCATGTTATCTCGTTCGCAGTCGGTCAAGCGTGTAACGCTACACCACTCTGTTTCTTTTACGAGATTTTACGATAATTTCTTTAATTTTATTTTTTTTCATCTGAAATTTGTTTGAACATGTTGGTGAGATTTTTCTGATGAAAATGATATCAAACACGATATAATTTGAACAACATTTACTTATTACACGTTCACTGTCTGGCGTGACAAAATTTCGGGATAAAAAAACGTAAAATTAAAAAAGTTGGTATTTAAATCGCTTGGTTGCCTCGACTCACGTTTCATCCTTATCTTTTATTCGCTGTCCTTGTCTACGTTCGGCAAACTACAAAGGTGCGCGCAAGGCTCGAAAAGGTAGTCACTGATTCTACAAGTGTCAGGTTAGGTTCATTGCGGACTGACACTTGTGGAGAATTTACTGTAGTTGCATTTACACCTGTTCAAATTCATATAACACGACAGACCGAAAACAGACTTCGTCGTGCTCCATGTCTAACAGCTAGGAACTGCACAATCTACACTGACTTCTAAGTTCAGACGAGAGTCAAGTGTTTTATAAACTTAAAAGGTCTCAGCACGGTCAAAACCAAACATAATTTTCCCATCAACCCAATGTGTACCTAGGAAAGACTATCTACGCGAACAAAGCATGAAAATGTGGGGGAAAAAGAAAAAAAAAAAAGAAGAAAGATACGAAGGAAGAGAAGAGTGAGAGCAAGATAGACGGTGAAAAGGTATTTTTTAAGAGCAGTGAACCGTCGAAGGGCGGAAAGGACGAAAAGCAAATGGAAGAAAGTCGAAGGACGTAAAGGACGAGAAACAGCTACTGCTTGCTCGTAATCACGCGAACGTTGAACCTTTCTATAATCTGAAACTCGGAACCATTCTCGGAAGACAATTTGCGCTCAGTGGAGGGCAAAGTGAATCTAGAGGACCACGGGTAAGAAGAAAAGCTTAGAGGGGGGGAGGAACGAAGAAAGAATGAAAAAAACGGCAGAAACGATAGAAATGGAAGAATAGCCGAAGAAAAGAGGAGAGAGAAGAATAGCAGACATGGAAGAGGGAAGAGAGATGCTAGGGCAAGGAAAGAGGAGTTCTGGCTGAAAGCAGACTGCAGCAGCTCGTAGCTGATTACCAGCTTGCGATGATGATCGGTTCCCAACTTGCCGCGGAGAAGACACCTCGTCAACTTGCCGCTTGTCGCTACCACGCTATACTCCAAGCTATGCACACTCCTTGTTACACACTATACATGCCACGTTATACGCCACTATAGCCTGAGGCCTTTTATGATGACGACCAGCCAACTACGTGCTGACAGTGAGTACCTCTGTAAACCGGCTAACCGTTCGACTTAAACTGTTAGAAATTCTTTTTGCCGTTCCTGTTTTCCTCGCCGTTTCCTCAACACCGTGAAACAATTCCAGATTTTTTTTATGGAAATGAACATACCCAGCTGAGTATGGGTCTTTTGGAAAATACTTTGCCCAAATATATACCAAACAGGTATCACGTGCAGATATTGGATTCTGAGCCGTGGAATTGAGTAGAACGTTTAACAATATAACGAGAGGTTTATTCTGACACACCTTGTGCAGTTCTGTAAAAATCTGAGCATGTTTTCGAAATTGGACTGTACAGGGTGTCCCACGCAACTGGGCTAAGCCATAGCTTTGAAATAGAAATTATTTTAAAGGTATATTTAAAAAAAATAGGGGTGACTTTTAAATCTTCGAAACTCCTACATTTTCGGAGAAGATACATGCACCACGTGATGCATCACTCAGAACCACTCAATTTTTCGTAATGAAAATTTTTTGTCTTCTACAGTGTATAGATAAGACTTTAATTGCAGCACTCTGAAATCGTCGCAATAGCGATCATACAGCGATAAAAAAAATATAATATCCTATTATAAAAAATAGTAAAAAGTATTTACATTACATCCAAGTTTTGTGTGTAAAACCTTTCTATATTATTACAAATAACGAAAGTATTCCAGATAGGCAAAGTTTTTGTCCCAGCCTGTATGCGGAAGGTTTCGAGACTGACGTGGAAGGGACTGGAGAGGGGATGACGTGGAAGGAATCGAAAAAGGGGCAGGAATCCTTGGTGACTAAGGGCTATTGTACAAAATATTAGGTTGTCCGGAAAGTTCGTGTCGATTTCCGATATACAGTATTTGAATCTCTCAGGACGTTAGAACAAATAAAACTCGATAAAAACATACGAAGCTTGCGTTTATTCTGAAAAATTATTTTTTCACGTGTCTTTTGAAAGTCTACTCGTTACAATTACTAGCTTCTCCTCGGAGTTATACATATTGTTTTAAGGATGCAAGAAGATAGAGGACATATCCAACACTTAATGTTTTTCTATTACCGAAAAGGGAAAAATGTTAGTGAAACAGAGAAACAGAGAAAAGGAGCCCATCAGAAAAAATTGTTCGCAAATAGTTGCAAAATTTTGATTTTAAAGAAAATATTTAAAAAAAAAACAAAGTTTTTGGCAAAACGATATTTTCAAATTGCGGAAAAGGTGTAAAACAAAATATTTTACATATTTTATAAAATAAAGAAATTAT